TCCCGCTCCGGCCGCCGCCGCCCCAGCCTTCCGCCGAGCGGCTCCCTTGCCTGGCGCCCCGGGGGCAAGATGGCCGCGCCTTTGCCAGAAAGGTGGGGAAGCGAAGCGGGAGGCCTTCCGCGGACTGTCGCACTACGACTCCCAGCATCCCTCGGCGGGACCGTGCCGGCCGGAGCTCTGGGAGTTGTTGTTCGACAACATCTGGAGCGCTGCAGGGTCCTCCCCTCCCCGCGCTCGCTGGAAGGAAGAGCTGGCTGATACGGAAAGGGGCGCAGATTTGCATTTGGAAATGCGCGTTTCTCATTCCGGGGCAGCTTCTTAAATTAGTATCTGCGCCTATTTTTAGTCTATTAGCCACTTCGCTGCAGGCGAGGGCCCATGGGTCCGAGGATCCCCTTGCTTGCCTTGCGCCGCTTCACTAGGGCTCCTGTATCTGCGCTGCAAAACCTCTGGTGGCCGAGGGATGGCAGCAAAGCGACAGGCCCGCTGGCTCTTTGCTGCCTCTTTGTGCTACAGCTGATCTTTGCTTCCCACACCAGGTGGCTGGACAGGGGCTGGGCTCCACTGAATCCTCACATTAACCCCCTAAGGGGGTTACACTTAATCCTGGTTCACAAAGTAGGCTAGATCACCACATGGATCCTTGGAGTTTGGTTTAGCTGATTCAATGCCACTATTATGGTTTATGGTTTCAGGTCTGAAGCGTGAATCAATGTGAATTGATGCATTTATGGCATGGTCCTTTCAATATACAATGGTTGTGCACCTTGTATGATTTCAGCTGTGAAAAGCACAAGAAGTTATATGAGTACCATGTTATTTTTTTTCCCCTATGGCTCCTAGTCATTTCAGATTTTTTTCTGAGCAGGAATTTGTTGTGCTAACAGTAGTGATTAACTGCTGGATTCCTGGGAATCAATCAATCGGCAAGAATCCTCACTGATAAATAAATAGAACTGCCTTGGGTACAGGCATTATGCCTTTAAATCTGGGGATTTAAAGGGGAACACAATGAGACTCAGCAGGATAAGTGCAGTTCCCTCACCTGGTACAGGGTAAAGGTACAGGGTAAAATCTTCGAGTCAAGCTTGACCCTTGTTGACTTCATGGATACATCCACATGTAACTTTCTTAGCCTCCCTTTGTAAGTGGTTTTCCACCTTCCCGACATTTTGACCTGAAATCCCAGTCTACTTTGCTGGTGGTTTCCCATCCAAATATGAACCAGGCCCACCTGCTGAGAGTCCAGACTGAAGCATTCAAGCAGTCTGGGATAGCCCTGGGAACTCTCTTGAAGGGGAGCAGGAAGAGGCCACCAAGACTTTCTCTCCCACAAGGAGACCAGACTGTGACTCAGACCTTATAGTACAAACCTAAGGATTCCAGTGATTTTGAATTAACTGTGGAGTCCTTGGTGCTTTCTGAACTTGGTTATTTGCTTGCAGACGTTTCATTACCCACCTAGGTAACATCATCAGTGCTAGTGAGTGTGGGGTTTGCTCCCCAGGGTTCAGCCACAATTGAATGATCAACCATGGTTCAACCCTGAGCTACAGATATTCTCTTCTGTTTGAATTTCTGACTTTGCAGAAGGCATTCCCTTGCATGGAACTTCAAAGGTCAGTGGTTGGAAAAGCCCTGTTTCCAAATAGCACCATCAGCAATGAAAAGAGGCTGCTTTGGCTGTGTTGTGTACGGAATATTTCAAAAAAAGGAGAATCCTATGCTTTGGTCTTTAAAGCACAAGTAATTAGAACATGCCAGCTTGGGAGACTTCACTTTTTCCCATTCAAAACTCAGTTACAGTGGCAATGGGGGCGCTGTGGGAAGAGCTGAAGGACCAGGTCAGGGACACATCATCATGGAGAAAACCGATCAATGTGATCCATCAAATCACTGCAATGTTTTTCAGTATTTGGAGATCAGCCACACTATCAACCTCAAACCCTTGAGGTTGCTAAACTTCCCTACAGCCTGTCTTCCAGCAACCTGGTGCCCCCCAGTTGCACGGATGTGAACTCCCACAGGCACTGATCTTCTGCCCAGGGATTGTGAAAGCCACACATGGAGGTCACCAAAGCTGTCATACTGGTAAGCCCATTTCTTCTTTTAGCTGGTTTCTTTCCTAACTGGCTGCCCCCACCCCAGATTATATATCCCATGATCCTCAGGCAGCATGACAGTGGAATGAGTTGCTGGTTGTAGACTATGGGAAGAACAGTCCAACCAACAATAAAGGAGGACAACAGCTGATGATACCACCCAACAGAAGACTTGGCAACCTGAGTAAAATCAGTTGTCCCTGTTTCATCAGTTAAGAAGATGAAGAAACATCAGAATGGGGTTCATCGTGTTCTGTGAACCCAGACACTGATTTATACACCCACCACTGTTGTGTGAACACCTGTGCAAAAGAGGAAATGGGGTAGGCCAAAGTTCAGCGCTACCGGTCAGATTCGGGGATCGGCAGCTTCCTTCTGTGCTTTGAGTTCTGGGAGATACAGGAGGGGCCAAATTCTGGGCTGAGGGGTCAAATGTTGAATGAGCTCGGCTGTAAAATCCGGCTTTCTCCGGCCAGTAGCTCCAGATGGGCTGCACCGCACTACCAGCCCCATCCTTCTCAGCCTCCGGGATGACAGGAGCAGTCGTGGAGGACTGGAAGACGATCACGAGCGGGTCTCGCCTTGCTGAAAGATCCGGGGCCAAAGCGCCGCTGCCTGGGACCTTCGCGAGGGCGAGGGAAGGGCGCCGAAGCTGCGGGCTGGGCTGGGGCCGGATCCGGCGCTCCTGAAGAGCCCTTCGGGCAGGTTTCCCTGTGCCCCACGGTATTCTGTGGGGTGGGAAGCGGGTGGGGAGAGCAGGCTGGGTTTCCCATCTGCGGCAGGATCCCTGGGCCCCCGCCGCCGCGTCCAAGCGGGCGGGGGCTCTTTAGCGAGAGGGCTTCCTGGGCGGTCTTGAACGGGCCGGCCCCGAGCCGCCGAAGCTCAGCTCTTCCCTCGCAGCCGCCCGAATGGGAGCCTGCGACGGGAGGACGGGCGCGAGGTCTGCGGAGACCTCGGTGTCGGAGGCTGCCTCGTACAGCGCGTCGCGGAAGAACGCGCGCAGTCGTAAGCGCGGGCGGTCCCTGCAGCTGGCGGAGCCCGCGTACTGTTCGGACAGGCAACTATCGCTGCACGGGCGTCTATGGCTTAACCCGGCCTGGTTCCTGCAATTGCCTCCCCCCGCTCTTCTGGGCTGCGTTCGCGAGACAGGCGCGCCTCAATTGCGCTTGGGTTCCTCGGGACTCAGGCGGGGGAGTGGTCGTCTCGGAGGCCAGCACGCTTAGCTCAGGGACCAGTGCCTGAAGGGCGCGGCCGAAGAGGACTTTGCTGGTCTCCGCTCCGCCTGACGCCTGCTGCTTTCAAAGCCTTTCCGCCGGGCCCAGCTCTTGCGCGGCCTTGCGGTCCCCCCGTGTTCCGGAGCTGCCGAAGGCGAACGGGGTGGGAAGAAACCCGATCGGCTTTGCTGCCCGCTTGGCGGCGGGAGGAAAGAGGCCGGGAGCCGCCCTCGCTCTGCCTGGCCGCGGTCGGGCCTGCCGGCTGCTCCTACTCCCGCGGCGGCTGGGCTGGGCTTTTCCCTCCAGCTTCGGCAACCGCGGGGCTTCTCAGAGCAAAAGCAGCCTCTGTAACTTCACGGCCGGGGCCAGGCGGAGCGCGAAGCGGCGCCTCGAGGTCGGGCCGGAGAGCCAACTCGCTGCGGCGCCTCGCGGAGAACCGACTTTTGCGGGCGCCTCGGCTTTCCGCGGCCACGTCCCCCGGTCGATCGACGCCTTTGGCTTCCAACGGCTCCCGTCGGGAGGAGACCTGGAAGACGGAACAGGGCGCGCTGAAAAAGGAGCTCCCCCCACGGGGAAGGCAGCTGGCGGGGCCGGCGGTGCCTCGGGCTGGGCGGCGGCTTCGAAGGAGGGGAAACCCCGGAGAGGTCGCAGCTCTACGGAGGTGAGCGAGGCCGCCTGGGAATCAGTGGCTCTTTCTCCAAAGTAAACGGGGGGGGGGGGTTTTTCTCGGGTAAAAGGGGCGGGCGAGCCAAGCGCTTCTCCGCCGAGCGCTTGGAGCTCGGCCCTGGTTGGGTCCGGCGGCCCTTCTCCTTCGCCCCCTCCCCCGTTGCGCTCGGAGGGCTGCCTCGGCCTTCGCTGCCCTTCCCAGAGGAGCCTCGGCGCCCCCACGCCCAAAATGCCGCGCGGGGGCGTGGAAGGCCGAGCCCCCGCCCACCTAGCAGAGGGCGTGAGCCCCAAGGAGCCCTGCCCGGCTCGGTTGGTACCGCTCGCCGAAGAGAGGAGGAGAGAGCCGGGGTCTGGGGCAAGCTCGACCACCTCGCCCGGCATTTGTATGTTCACAATCCAAACTCTCCCTTCTCTCCTGTCCCCCCCCCGGCCCTGGAGGAGATGCGAAGGAAAGAGAGATTTCTTTGTAAAAAGACCCACGCAACCCGTTGCCCGCCCGATCTTCGCCCACCTCCCTTTGTCGAATCCTGAGGCACGCCCGGAATGTTAGGCGGCACGATCCATTGCAGCGGGTGCCGACGAGGTTCCGGAGCGCCAAGGGTCGGTTCTGAGCTGCGCGCCCGGGCAGCCTCTGGAAAACCAAGGGTCACGGCCGTTCGCGCGTTCACACATTCTGGTTCTCACCCGGCAGTGTTCACTTCAGGGATCCAAGACGCTTTCCCCATTACCAGAATGGAGTTTGTCCCTGATCCCTCTTGACATTTTATCGTCTTTTATTATCGTCGGATAGATAACAGTTGGATATAACTTCCCCTTTTACACAAGGATGAAGCGCAGTTGGTCGAGCGCTAGTTGGAAGCCTTACTTAGGACTTGGCTGCCAAGCGCTGGGCATCAATCGTAGACCTGCCGTCCAGCGGAACCTCCAATCCCTTCGCGCTTCGCCCCAAAGTAACTACCGGAGCCCTCATTGCTTCGGAAAGGAGCAGGAAGCCCTTTCGGGTGGGCAGGGCCAGACGTTGCCAGCGTTGACAGGTGTGAGCCGCGGCCAATGGGCTGCTCCAGAGCCCAGCACCGGCCGCCAATCGGGTCCGGCCTCCCAGCAGGCCAATGGAATCCTCGCCTGAGCCTTCAAGGCGGCCGAATGAGCGTCCAGGT